GAACTCTAGGTGTGTTTTCATCTCTCACTCATTGCTCAACATCACAATCTGTTACCCTTGCTAATGGCTCTACATCATCTATTCGTGGTATTGGTAATGTTGACCTAGACCCTGTATCCCTATCCTCTGTTTTATATGTACCTAAGCTTCCATTTAATCTTATGTCTGTTAGTAACCTGACCAAGTCTCTTAATTGCTCCATTGCATTTTATCCCTCTATGTGTGTTTTCCAGGATCTCAAGACGGGGATGAAGATTGGTGGACTGTATTATCTTGATGGTGGTGGGAGAACGTCAACGACCCTTCAGTCATCTATTTCTCCTCTCCAGTGGCATTGTAGATTTGGTCATCCTTCGCTGAAATTGCTGAAGTCCTTGGTCCCTTTATTGAGTCAACTTTCTGTTTTAGATTGTGAGTCGTGTCAACTTGGAAACACCATCGTGTTCTCTTTAGTTCTAGGGTTGATAACCGTGTGTCGAGTCCTTTTTCTTTAATTCATTTAGATGTTTGGGGTCCTTATAAAGTGATGTCATATAATGGATACAACTATTTTGTTATTTTTGTTGATGACTTTTSAAGAATGAYGTGSCTYTATTTAATGAAAGAAAGAAGTGAATTATTTGCCATCTTCCAGAAATTTTATGCTGAGATCCGCAATCAATTTGGCATTAACATCAAAATTTTCCGTTCTGATAATGGTCGTGAATACTTGTCTTCATCTTTTCAAGAATACTTGGACCAACATGGCATTATACACCAAACTTCATGTACCTACACCCCACAACAAAATGGGGTTGCTGAGAGAGAACTAGCATCTTGTAGAAACGGCACGCTCACTCATGCACCACATGAATGTTCCCAAACCCTTTTGGAGTGATGCAATGCTCACCTCTTGTTTCTTAATTAATCGGATGCCCACGTTTATTCTTGATGGTCTTTCTCCTTTTAGTGTCTTGTTCCCCAACATGTCTCCGTTTCCGTTTCCTCGGGTATTTGGGTGTGTCTGCTTCGTCCATAATCTGGGTCCCGGGACTGATAAGTTAGATGCACGATCCCTTAAGTGTATCTTCCTTGGCTATTCCCGAACTCAGAAAGGGTACAAGTGTTACCATCCCAGTTCTTGTCGTTCCTTAGTATGTGCTAATGTTACTTTCTTCGAGTCTACTCCGTTCTTCGTGGGTCCGGTGATGCTGCTTCCTCCACATCACCTCCTCCTATTCCCCTTCTTGTGGCTGATCGTCCTCCTCTGGTTCCAGTCTTGCCTACGTCCTTGCCTCCGGTGCCACCGTCCGTTGATCGTCTACCTATCCGTCACGTGTATACACATCGCCCACGTG